AATACATATATATATATATATATATACACACACACGATAGTTAAGATAGTTATACAGCTAGTTTCTCTTAGTTCATTGAAAAGAAAGGTTTGTGCTAATATTGTTCAGACAATATGTCATGCCTGTATCTTGTACTCTGAGTAACTACTACAAAGACAGTAGTACGCAGTATATTCATTATTGTAACTCTCTTACTAACCTGTTTTGAAACTTTTATTGCTTTTTTCCTCTTTAAAATAAATAAATAAATAGTAAGCTTTTCAAAAAGTAATAACAATAGAGAATATTATATGTTTAGCATATTTAATCCTGATTTTTTATTATTATGTAATAGTTCATCTCTACATTAATGTTTTCCTCATAATGCCTTTTTAATCTCAGAATGTGCACATCTCAGATATCTGGACAGCAGTATCAGTTCTTTTTCTTGCCCACCATGTACGGCAGATTACGTCAGGTGCATGATTAGTTTCTTACTGTTTCCTGCAGTACTGAATGTGTGCCTGGTTGACTTCGGTGGGAGAGTCGGGAGGAAGGCCAACCTCTACCTGTAGTTCCCCTTTAAGGAGCTTAAACAAAAGCAAGCTTTAAAAAAATTCTTACAGTCTTAAGTCACACACTCAAAATCATTGGAATTTCTACACTAAATTTATTTTTATCTTCCTTTTATGCACATACTTTACACTTTAGGATGGGGGTTTTATTAAAATGCTGTAATAGCCTCTACTCCAATTTCCTGAGACTAAGTCATACTTTATGGTACGAATTAACTTCTAAGGCTAACTTCTACTCCTTTGTATGCCTAGAGTTGAGAGGACGGGGAGGATTACCGTCAGTAGTGACATAACAATAACTACAGCTAGCAGCATTTGTTGAGCTGTTTGAGGTACCAAGCACCGTGTACCTTGTGTGTATTATTAATCTCTAAACACTCCGAGGGTGCTTAGTAACTTACTTGCCTGAGGGTACCGAGTAGCAAGAGTAGAGCTAGGCTTCAGATTCAGTCACCGTGACTCATCCTGTGTGGGCTGGCAGTTCTTTCAAGTTCTGTTTCAGGTAATACCGGGAAACTTTTCCCCCACAAATACACCACTGTGTCCCCCCCCCCCCGTGCTCGTTTATAATTTTTGGCAACTCGATTGCCTTGTCAGAAATACCCCGATGCGTAAAGTATTTGGCGTTCGCAGAGCCAGATACCATGAGGAAAAATCTCCAAGGTGGCATAAGCCAGCTGAATTGTTGGAGAGGCCATTGCCTTCCATGTAGCAAAGTGACTTCCCAGCAAAGTAAGCTCTGTGGCGTGGATGTCCCATGGATGCGTGCGCAGCGCGGGCAGCACGCTGGCGGGGGCCTTCTCTCGCGCAGCGGAGCAGGAGTGCGTGAGAAGAGCATGCCGTGGAGTTAGAGTTAGAATTTGGTAGCCCTGGGATTACAACATAGTTTCAATAATAAAGGTAAATGGCAACCCAGAACAACAGCTAAGCAAATAGAAGCGCTAAGCTCTGGCTTATTTCGATATTTACCCAGTGCAGTCTCGGAAATCGCTGAGAGCTTTTTGGAAGAACTGGAAGGGAGCACCTGCTTTCTCAAGGCCGAGCTCGCCTGTAAACGCACCGAGTTTTTGAGAGGGTGTGTGCGTGTTTAACGTGTGGGTGTGTTTGCCTCAGGAAGACGTGGAGCTTCAAAAGGCAAAATGTTTTGTAACTCAGCAATGTAATTGTAAATGGAATTATTAAATCTGATGATGAAATTAAAAGCAGAGTGTGTGTAGGGGGCTGTTTTTGCTGGCTCAGCTACTCCAGCCGTTCAGAGGCCCCGTTTCGGCTCAGGTACAGCTCCCTGGAGAGGCAGCCCCTTGTTGGACAGCGATAGCTGTTAACCCGGGCTTGGGAGCATTGGAGTTCTTCAGTTCAAAGGAAGAGAGGAATTTCACTTTGGCTGATAGTCTCATTTCCCCAGGAACTGATGATAGATAGTGAGGATCCACCTCAGGCAGAAGGTATGGGTAAACCACAGCCTTGTAGCAGAAGGCAGACTTCAAAGTGCAGAGAGGGAGCCACACAGCTGCCCCAGGCTTGAGAGAAACAGATGTGGAAGGAGCATTCTGAACTCGTAAAATTCACTAATATTTTTCCAAACTGCCAGGCCCGGCTTTGTAGTTACACTTCCCAATCACTCCAAGCAGAGTTTGGCACGTGTAATTATTTCAGCATAAAAAGAGCCATTAACTGACACAGTGGGTTTTTAGGGTTGCAACTGGTGTTGGGAACACTCAGACCTTCGCGTATACTCTAGACACCGCTGGGTTTGGTGAGCAGGCCCGGCGGAGCCCCGTTACATCAGCTGTCCCTCAGAGGGGATCCAGGGCTCGTTGTAGTCCTTTAGATCTTT